TACGGTTGGTTTCTATTGAATCAGGTACACATTTTAGTTTTAGTTGTAACTTTAGGATGTACTGACCGAACATACGAAGTTTCTCTTAGACGAATTTGTATGTCTGGAGTCACAATCGTTCCTATATAGACATTGTTAAAGGTGTAAACAATCAAAATGAAATTTGAATGTATATGTACCATGGTACGACTTCAGGTGTAGCCAGTTTACAGTTTAGGCTAATTATTAAATCAAATCAATTTCTAATATGTATCATGTGAGTACTGTTCCGCATAAGTATAAATAATCAACTAATACGTCACTTTTTTTTTTTTTCCTTCTTTACCTTTTACAAAATTACAAAGAGAGCATTCGTTTTTAAGGATGTCTAAATATTTTATTGAATTTAAAAACAAGACCGGATTGGGTCAGTATTTGACATTCTGTGTCTGTCAACAGATGAATGATGCCGAATATTCAGACAGCGTAGCTTGGCTTATTACCTCTACACCTAGTGGTTCTGCATCTACTATTTCTTGGAAGCTTGACAAATATATGGTCGCTTTAGCTGAATACCGATTAAAAGATCACACCGGCACTTATCATACTAAACAAACCGCTACTGCAGAACTTGGTTCAAATTGGCAAATTATTAATTATGATGTAAGTTAAATATTAATATATATATGTGTGTGTGTGATTGACAATAATTCATATTTTGGTTTCCAGGGAGAAACACAAGCACTTGTGCCTTTATCAAATGGACACAGAATTGATCCCGACACAATAAAAATAACCAATAATTCAACTGCATCAGCGAATTGTGGAGTAGGAATGTGGGGTGGTACAACAGCTTTCGTGAGAAATTTACATCGAAGTTCCACAGCAACATTTAAAATTAAACCACAATATTGGGTTGGAGTGTTTAATACAGATACAAAAATACATAAAGGTCAAGTAATTGAAGAGAGTGATGCTTTAGCTTCAAAACTAATTTCGTTTCCTCCAGAAAAAAATTTAGCAGTTATTACTGCTATGTCAGAAAATGAAAAAGTTTATTTTGCGGTGGACTTTGGTGAGAGATCATCGAGTTCATTTTATAGTTCCTTTTGTGAGAAATTATATGAGATTATATTTATCGTACCGATTTCATGTGTTAAAAATTGTTTCACGTCCATTTTTGAAATGTTTGGATCAAAAAAGAAAAAGGTCTAAAAATTGAAGAAATACTCATTTCAGATAAAATTCCCCACTTCATAAATACTTTATTATATTCTATTAGACATGTATTATATTCATCTTTTTAAATTTATGTTAAGATTTATTGCCGTGGAAATTTATATTGATAATTATGGAGGTATCAATAAAGAGCTTTGTATTTTTTTTTATTTTATTTGAATAAAGATGTCAATCGCTTTTACCCACGAATTTTATTGTCACTTAACGCACTAACTAAAGAATTAAAGTTTAATTATTATGTATTTCGCGTAGTCATTTAGTATGATTGCAGATACAAATAACAATTACGGGAGTTGTTTCAAAAATCGGGATCCTTTAAAATGGATTACTTCATTTCAAAATAACGTTTATGGCATGAATGATTCCTGCATCATAAAATGTTGTGATAAAGTCAGTCAATAGTGCTGTTTGAATTACAGAACTATAAACAAGACATTTTAAACCATCAATCTTTAGTGACTAAATCGGGAGTTTTTTTTTTTTGAAATGCAATATTAGAAAGTTTATTCAAAGTTTAAAAAAAATTTAATGTATTTTTTTTTAAAAAAAGAAAACGTTTAACTTTAAATGAAGGCTTTTATTTTAATCTTATGAATTTATGAAATTAATATATAAATTTTACTAAATTTTTGGGTCAGGTTGTTATTAAAAATACTTATTCAAAGTTTAAATATTTAGCTAATTATTATTAATTAAAAATTTTTGTACTATAATATTGCTTTTTTTAATCTTACTTAATTAAATTTTATTTTTCTTTTTACTAAATATAATTTGTAATAGTAGCTTTAATAAAAGGATTATAGCTTGCTTAATTGTGCCAACGTAGGGTTTTTTTGCTACATATTATAAAAAAATTTTTTTTTTCTTTTTTATAACTAATAGTAGCTTGGCTTAAATTATTTTAAAATTAGAAAATTAGAAGTATATATTATATTAAATAATATTTATAGTTAGTCTTGATATTCTTACTATATTGTCTAAATAAGCTATGTAATTTTCTAATTAATTAATATAATAAAATAAAATTTGTATTACAGTATTAATTTAAAATTTTATTAATAAATTATTTTATATAAAATATAGAATTTATTTGGGCTATATATTTTAAATGTTATTATATATTGATCGAAAAATTTACCTCCAATTTTAAAGCTAGGATTAAACATTAAGTTTAGAGTTAAGGCTTAAATTATAGTTAGAGGTTAGGTTTTTTAGTAGTGTTACAAATCGTCAAAATTTTTTCAACCGATTAGTTGAGTAACTATTTTTTTTAGTTGATCAACTAATTGCAACTAATCACTTATTGTTAAGGTGCAATTAATTGATTAATTGATTTTTTGATTAATTGTAAGTTATAACTAATTGATTAATCAATTGATTGACTAAGTGCAACTAATTAATTAAAAAATTAAATGATTTTTTTAATCATTAGCAATTAATTCTTTAATTAATTAGTTACAACTAATTGATTAATTAATTGTTTAATTGATTAGTTTGATGTCTAAAAAATTTAATCAATCAGTTTTCAACTAACCAACTAATTGATTTTTTCAACTTTTGATTTGTAACAATATTTTTTAGAATATTAAATATTTTTATTTAATTTATTAAACATTATTATTAGGGCTGTTTATTAAAAACAGCATACCTAATTAATTTTATTTCTAATGAGTATTAAAATCATTCTAAAATATAAATATAAAATTTAAGTAAAACTTATAAATCTAAATTTATAAAATTTTTATTTTTACTTTATATTTTATTATATATACAACTCTTCTAAATACAATTTATTGAAACCAGGCTTTTAGCAATATACATTTAGAAAACAATTAAGAAAAATTGTATTTATAGAGACAAAATATATATCAAACATATACTTGGGCCTAAAGTTAAAGTTGCATTTAGAGAGAAGTTGCATTTAGAGAGGTTGCATTTAGAGAGAGTTGTCTGTATTACAACTAAACAAAAAGTTTATTCTATATTTATATAGTTTTACTTATTTGTATTGATAATATATATATATATTTTTAAAAAAAGCTAACAATACTATTTTAATTAATTTGTTCTTTAAACATAACTTTAAATTTTGTATTATCTCTATATAACTTCCTAGTAACAATATCTTTATTAAACTTCAAACCCAATATACTATTATTTAATAGCTACAAGATACTAGTATCTTAATTTACTTCTCATTATATTTGAAGACTTTAATACCTTAACAAACTTTGAAGCTTATTTACTTTTTTTTTTTTTTTTTCAGTGTTAAAGGTGATCTTTTTGGCTATAACTTTTTATTAGAAGTTAAGTTTCAGTTACAACAATGGTACAACTAGCCACATGTACAACTTTTGGTTATTTAT